TAGTGTGAATAAAAATCTGTTCCAACCCCTGGGATGGAACCTGGCATTTGCCCTCTGTGAGCTTAGCCATTGGTGGAACAGATGAGTGGGTTTGCCAGAGCGATCCGGTTGACTGCTTTATCACCTCATTCATAGGAAGAGCTACTTTCCCTGCAGTAGCCGGGTGCAATATGTCTGTACGCTTATGCAGATTCTCCTCCATCATCTCCATCTAAATTCCAAGATCTACAGCCATTCTTTTCAGGATCTCTTGGTAGCTTTAAAAGTCATCTGGAGGATGGAGGAAGCTTCCAGTACCATAATCTCATCCAGTGACAAGGATAATGTAATCAGAGGAGGCAAGGCAGAACCCTCACGAGGCTGATCTTGCACCACTGAGGTAGACAGCTGGTCCAAGGAAGGGTCCAGAAATTTGGTATCCAGAAGCTGTTTGGTACCAAGTACTAGCAGTCTCTCAATACGGGGTAGGGAAGCCTTCCTTCTCATGATCTGCTTCTATGACGAAGAGGAGATGTCCATCTCGATGCTAGAGGCATCCCCACAGGCACCCAATAGGGCCAATGAGGGAACTGATACGGCATCAGAAGACAATTGTGCCTAGACCAAGCCTACCAATCCTTCAGTCTGCTCATGTCAGAATACCTTCTGTGAAAGTGGGAATGGGTTCTGGAGGAAACCCTGGACTCTCTGAAGTAGGAGACATGGACCCACTTTGGACTCCAACAGGGAGTAACAGTACTCCTAAGGCCAAGATGGTGCGGTACCAGGCGACATCCTCGGATACTGGGATTGGGATCTATGTTAAGACTGTAATACCAGGGGTAGCATCAGAGGCTTCCCAGCTATTGGTACTGTGTGTTGAGGTAAAGCAGGTACTAGGAGCCTAGACACTGTCAATGAAAAAATCATTGAGGATGGTACCAGTCTTGAGACTGGTGAGGCTGTAACAGACTCCAACATCGGTACCGAAGACTGCGCAAATTGTGACAGTTCTGGCAGAGGACCTTTGCCTTGAATCAGCAGTGAGAGTGGTACCAAAAGGCACAGCAAATCCTTCACGGCCACACAGATCTCTGGTATTGTCAGCACTGAAATGGATGGTAGTCATTGCTGCTTACAGTGGGACAATCTACTGTCATCACCAATGAAACAGCCAGTCTTGACAGACCAGGGCAGGTCAATCCTGTGAGAGCCACAGTGGGCCAGTACTGGAGAGCGGTGAGCCTAGGGACATGCTCTACCTTCAGTAATGGAGTGGCCTTCCACTGCTGAGGAGTCCCCACACTGAGGACTTCGAAGAAGTTGATGCCATCTTCTTCTTAAGCTTCAGACAGGAGTGGTCCAAGCTCTTATGCTTTCTAGAGGACAGCCCCAGCGGAGGGGATCTCCTATAATTTCTGTCTGTTGGCAAGGCTGGGGGAGCATGACTAGAATGAGTGGTTAAAGAGCTCCCATGAGCCAAGTGAGTGGTTCTGATGCTGGGCAAAGAGCACCCTCTATGAGACTGTATCTAAAAGATTAGATCTCTCTCTGCTTCTTTGTTCTGTATTTGAAGCAGTGGCAGATCAGACACCTGTAGTACTCAAGTAACCTCACCCAAGTATTTTGAACAATGAGAGTTCAGGTCACTAACGGGCATTGCCTTATGACAGGGAGAGCAGGGCTTTTTACCAGAACACCTTGGCACAAGCTTTTCAAGTACCTGATGAGGCCCAGAAAGACTCACATAAAGAAAGTAAAATAAGGTTTAAAAACAAGAATAAAAGGAATAAAGAAAGAAAACCACCAAGAGAGGCAATAGCAAGTATCCCTAGTAAAAGTTAACTATAAAAAATATTGTTCACAGAGGAATGTTTTTTTTACTGTAAAGCACTGAAATTCTCTGGCCACTGATCACGGATGGTAAGAAAGAACTGAAGAATAGGCAGGATGGCCCTTTATACCAGGGGTGGCCAAACTTACTGACCCTCCAGATTGCATATGACAGAAGTTTGAGAGCTGGGGCAGGCATGCCGGGGCTTGGGGTTTCAGCCCCACAGGAGGCACCTGACAGGGCTCTGGGCTTCAGCCCTGCGTGGAAAGGGATCTCGGGACTTCAGCTCTGCAGGAGGCGCCTGCCGGGGCTCAGGGCTTCAGCCCTGCACGGATGGGATCTTGGGATTTCAGGCTCACAGGAGGCACCTGCCAGGGCTTGGGGCTTCAGCCCTGTGAATAGTGCCTGCCTGGGCTCAGGGCTTCAGCCCCGTTCCTGCTGAAGCACCGAGCCCCAGAAGGCATGCCCTACAGTCCTGAAGCCCTGAGACCTCCCTCCCTGCTGGGAGGAAGACAGAGGCGACATGGGGGGGAGGGACACACACCTGGGTCACGTGCCTTCTGAGAGTTTTGCCAGGGTTTGATTGCCCCACTCCGTCACAAGGTGCTGCTGGGTCCCCTCCTCCCTGCATGGCAGTTGCTGAAGCCAGCAAGCTGGGAGCTGCGGCCAAGGGGAGAGGCAGCGGCAAACAGCTGGGAGCTGCAGGGAAAGCCACGGCTTTTGCTGCTACCTCTCCTTATGGAGCTAAAGCAGTGGCTCCCCCCTGCAGCTCCCAGCTGTTTGCCACTGGCTCTCCACATGCAGCTAACATCCGGGAGCTGCAGGGAGGGGTCAGTGAGGCTAAGACCGGGGGTATCCTGACAGGGCATGGCTCAAGCTGTTGGAGGGGAGGGGGATAATCTTTAAATTGTGCCCTCCCCTCCCCCCAGCAGGCACCTGTCGTCTCTAGCAGAAGCCCCTAGCTCCACCACCCCACCGCAGGGCACAAACCCTGGGCTCCCCACACTCCACGAGCTGCACTTTAACAGTACAAATGCCATAACTACACAGCCACGTTAATGCACTGCTGCGGCAGCGCTTTAACGTTGCTAGTGAAGACATACCCCAGTGTGATCAAACAGAAGTTTACTTTTCTTGCTCGTTTGGTATATCTTATGGGAGATAACCTCCAGTTTTGGGGTATATCTGCCTTATTTCTCAGCAGTTTGTCCTGAATTTGGTATTCTCAGTTATGTCCCACAAAGGCACGGTTACACTTGTGAAAAATTCACAGGTAGATGGATTTATGACGATTTGAAAGTATTAGACAATATTTAAAATATGACATTTAGAAGGTGATTAATTTCAGGTATAATCAATTTTGTCCAAGATTCTTCATCAATAAATTTTTTAAGTGACCTGTTAAGACGCTTGAATTTCAGCCAGGAAAAAAAAAAAAAAAAAAAAAAGATTTATTCTTCTGACATTAATGAGTTAGTAAATTTGGCCTTATACAAGTAAATATTTTTCTTTTTAAATAACATCTGATTGCCAAAACAAAATATTTGAGAGAGAAACATAACAGAAACATCATTTGAGGAAATACAAAAATCAATATCTTTTAACAACGCTTTAGAGTCAACATTTATACGACATGGAAATACAACACTGAAAATATTTGTTGCGATTTCTCACAATCAAATCTTATCTGTTACAAGTCCAAACCACATGTATTTCTATTTTCTCAAAAAACAGCTTTCTTTCTGATCTATTATTTCACACATCGTGTTATTAAACAGAAGATCAAGAACTTAATCTTCCTAAAATGAATCTATTACAATAACAAATAAATGTAATACATTCCTCTAATCATGGACTTCAAATGTCATTTCCTGAACCATTACAAAAACTCCATCTGTGAGTTTAGCAATCAGTTAGACCTCTGAGTCATCTTGAAGACACTGGTGATTCATTAATATGCTGACAATAAAAGACTGTTGTTCTTCAAGATGTGTTGCTCTGACTTGCGCGCCGGCTGTGCCGGGGACAGCTTATCCGATGCGGCTTGGGAGGAACAGTGGGAGTACGGAACTGGTACAACAGGTACACCCCAGGGGTTCCAGTACTGCCACTGAACAGGCCATTGCCCCTACCTTCACACCGCTGCCACAGGAGCCACGCTGGTCTCTTGGGCCGGTGGCGATTTGCTTTTTATAGGTGAGGGGCTGAACTCCCCTTAGGCTTGGACCTCGGCCCTTCTGGTGACCAGGGCAGAGCCATCGATGCCATAGTGCCTGCCCGAGGAGTGGTACTGGGGAGCCGGAGACCGGTGCAGCGACCAGGAACGATTCCACACCAGGGGTAATCGATGCCTAGAGAAATTCCGCAGAGTATGCAAAGGTATTTTTACATAAATTTTGTGGATTAATTCTCAAACATGAACAGCATGAAGAGCTGTGCCTTGTGGCAGAACTTGTTCAGAGCCCTATGAATGTAACCAAGGAAGAAGTTTACAGACCTTTGCTCAATTTACAAGTAAAGTAGAGATAAATGTCAGTGAGTAGATGCCAGAATTTGGTATTAACACTAATACAAATCAGCTGAGAGGATAGGATGAATAGTTTGTCGCAGGCCAACTGGACAAACTACAGAGTTTTGCAGTCCAAGGGACCATCTGAATTAAAGTTTTAAAAACACAAGCTATGAGAGCAGAAAAAGCTTAAATCAGTTTTCAAATGTTTTGATGAGGGGATAGCTGGAGAAAGAAGAAACATTTTAAATGTGCAGGGACTTATTTCTTCTGATGAGAGAATCCATGACAGCTACAATTAAATTAGGTTGATGTTTAGTCTTCCCTTTAAAAATGAAGCAGGCCTTGTAGCAGCTACTGATTTAGAACTCTAAAATCTTTCACTGAAATCACTCATGCACAGAATTTCTGGGCTCCTACTCAAAAAACCAATTTATGGAGTCCCCATTCTACCTCTGAAAATTGTATCAGAGTATTTGTTTAGTATCAGACAGCAGAAAATGAGGCCTCATTTGTATATGTATAATAGTTCAACGGGGAAAAAATGTTATAAAAATAAATTATTCAAATTAGAGAACTGGATAATAAGATTCATTTTCACATGTAAAACTTTTAAATACATTTACAGTAGCAGAAATATACTGATTTCTTAATTTCTTTCTCATTCTCCATACTTACCAACTCTGAACTAGCCCAACTGAAGGCCTGTTTAGCAAGTTATCAGGCAGCAAATTGACTTCTCTCATGGTATTAGCTAGCCGCACAGGAAGTTCTTTCCGTAGGAACATGTATGATGTTTTCTCACATGCATTATCACGTCCTGTTAGAAAAAATAAAGAATTCTATTGCAATAGACTATGGTTTAGAATTTGCAGCTCTAGAATGAAATAAATGTTACTGTTAGAAAACAAAGACCAATTAAAGTACCCTTAAGTCTGGTCCCCCTTTGATCCCTCCAGTTCCCTTCTCACTCTTCAGGACACCACATTTATCTTTACCTCTCTAGCTCCTTCCCCATGTCCATCTGTCAGTACCTCTTTCAAACCCCTTTCCTTCATTTCATATCTTCAGGTTGCACCTGCCTTAAAAGGTTCTGTTCCCAATTCATTCTTCCAAGCTCTACCCAATCGCTGTTTGTCTCTAGTGCTCAAAACCACTACCCCAGCCACACTCACATGACAGAAAAAAAAACTTACTACAAAAGAAAAATAATTTACAGTAATTTTCTCCAATATCAGGAGGCTTTTTTCCTATTGCTTTTGTTGTAGAAGCAATTCCATAATAATTGTACTTCTACAATGCTCTTTTCTACAATACTAGCACTTCTGTTCTAGAAAAGCTACTAATATTGTAGAATCATTTTTGATACAAGGATTACTTAGATTCACTTTTAAAATGAGTATTAAATAAACTTGCCTATGCAAGATAAAATACCTACTAACTCTTTTCAGCACTATTACTACTTCATCAAGAGTTATAATCCCACATTTGGGACTGTGGAGACTCTGTAAACAAAACTACTCAAGATAGTTAAGTCCCAGGCAGACTGCCAAGAGCTACAAAAGGATCTTTCAAAACTGGGTGACTGGGCAACAAAATGGCAGAAGAAACTCGGTGTTGATAAATTCAAAGTAATGCACATTGGAAAACATAATCCCAGCTATACATATAAAATGATGGGGTCTAAATTAGCTGTTACCACTCAAGAAAGAGATCTTGGGAGTCATTGTGGATAGTTCTCTGAAAACATCCACGCAATGTGCAGTGGCAGTCAAAAATGCGAACAGAATGCTGGGAATCATTAAGAAAGGGATAGATAATAAGACAGAAAATATTATATTGTCTCTATATAAATCCATGGTACGTCCACATCTTGAATACTGTGTGTAGATGTGGTCACCGCATCTCAAAAAAGATATATTGGAATTGGAAAAAGTTCAGAAAAGGGCAACAAAAATGATTAGGGGTATGGAACGGCTTCCGTATGAAGAGAGATTAATAAGACTTGGACTTTTCAGCTTGGAAAAGAGACGACTAAAGGGGGATATGATTGAGGTCTGTAAAATCATGACTGGTGTGGAGAAAGTAAATAAGGACGTGCTATTTACTCCTCATAACACAAGAACTAGGGATCACCAAATGAAATTAATAGGCAGCAGGTTTAAAAACAAACAAAAAGGAAGTATTTCTTCACACAATGGGACTGTCCCTATAAAATCGGGACATCTGGTCACCCTAATTCTCTTCATTTCTAAGGTGAATTTTTAAAACTGTCATACTTAAAGACATTGCTTTGGAAACTATTTATATTCTGTGCTTCCAAAGTCAAAGTTTAGTTAACATTGCTATAAAAATTGCCTTTTGCATTCTAATAGCATTACTAAATAGGGAAAGCAAAATAAAATTAGGCCCTGGTCCACCAAAAAAGTTGACTCTGTAGCTACTGGCCTACAAAATCTTTGTGCCATAGCTGGAGAAACCTATGAGCAAATTATTTCTGAATGGCAGCATTCTGTGCATCCTTTCCCCCATACTTACAATGGCAGTTGTGAACAGCCAGACTGTCATACCAGTATATGGCAACTTGGCTTCTGAGAGGGCTTTTCCAAGAATATTCAGCAGCCATCCAAAGAGGAGGCATAGTCAACATAGCCTGTTAACTTCTAAAGAGGTTGGAAAGGGGAGTGAGCTAACATGTTCTTTCTAGCTGTCATTTCTGTTCATCTAGTCAACTATAAAAGAGCAAGAAGAGGACAACAGGGCTCAAGTATTTAAGGGGAGAAGAAAAAAAAAAAAAGATTCTCCAGTAGTCAGGTGAAACCAACAAGTCTTGCCAAGAAACTTTCAATCCTCGCCCCCAAACATATCTCTCCTACGAATGGATTTTGTTGGGCATGGGGAGCAAGCAATTGTGAAGAGGACTGACTGAAAAAGAGAGACTGGCACAGCTAATTCATTTCAGGAGCAAGACATTTTCCAAGAATTGGATAATGTTATTCTGCCATTTTGCTAGAGTTAACTAAAGTTAATTTACCACTTCCTTAGTGATTACAAGTAAGAATAGGGTGTGATGGGGTGTCCACCCCACTCGAGGCCTAAAGGTGTAAATTATGCCAATTAACCTTAGGCTGCACCTGGAGGAAACCTAGGGAGTGCTATGGCCTAATTGCAGATGAAGTCCAACTGGAGAGAGGATCTGGGCAGGGTCTATAAAGAGAGGAAGTTGGCAGGCTGCAGGAGGAAACCTGCAGTTGCACTCCCTGATACAAGGGGGAAAGAGCAAGAAGCTGCAAGGACAGAGTAGGAAGCAGTTCAGGGAAGGAGTAGTAAGGACTAGGAGAGTAAAAGTCCAGAGCTGCTGGATTGAGGGTCCCTGGACAGGAACCTGGTGTAAAGGGTGGGCCCCGGTTCCCCTACCAGGAGAAGCACAGACTAGGCAGTGGGGAAAGAAGCACTGGGGGAGAAGCACAGACCAGGCAGTGGGGAAAGAAGCACTGGGGGAGAAGCACAGACCAGGCAGTGGGGAGAGGACCGCCTGGGACAGTTTGCCTGCAATACCCTGGAAGGGGGAAGAATTTAAAGGGGACTTGGCCCAAGGGCTAAGCTATGAAGAGGACAATGCTGCGGGTATGTCTACACTGGAAACTCGCTTTGAAGTGCGAGTGTGGTAGCGCACGAGCGCTGGGAGAGAGCTTTCCCAGCGTTCCTGGTAATCCACCTCCACAAGGGGATTAGCTCCTAGCGCCGGGAGATAAAATGTTTTTATATTTTTCTGCAGTTTTGGTGGGGGTTAGTCTTTTTAAACCATTTGGTGAAAGTGACACACCTTTACAAAATATTTTGGTCAAACAAATCTACATTTTTTGCTGCAAAAATTTATCAAAATGTCACCCCACTTTACTACTTATCTTTCACTAAAATTCAGCTTGTGCCTTTTCAGCTGTATTCTCTAAGGCAGTGGTGGGCAACTTGTGGTCCGTGGGCCGCATGCGGCCCATCAGGGTAATCCGCTGACGGGCTGCAAGATGGTTTGTTTACATTGACCATCTGCAGGCACAGCCGCCCATAGCTCCCAGTGGCCGTGGTTTGCCGTTCCCAGCCAAAGGGAGCTGCGGGAAGCGGCGGCCAGCATGTCCCTGCAGGCCGCTCCGCTTCCCACAGCTCCCATTGGCCAGGCACAGCAAACGGCCAGTGGGAGCTGCGGGCGGCCGTGCCTGTGGACAGTCAATGTAAACAAACCGTCACGCGGGCAGCCAGCGGATTACCCTGACAGGCTGTGTCTGGTCCACAGGCCACAGGTTGCCCACCACTGCTCTAAGGCCATGTCTACTCTACCACTTTTGTCCATAGGCGCGGACTCCGTGGGAAAACCATGGAAAAAAATTAGTGGGTGCTTTGCACCCACCGGCAGCCAAACTCCCCTCACCTCCCGCCCCACCTCCTTCCCCCTCCCCCCCCCGAGAGCCCCACGTCCCCGCTCCTCCACTTACCTACCTCCCAGCGCTTCCCGCCGCCAAATAGCTGTTTGGTGGTGCTTAGGACTTTCCAGGAGGGAGGGGGGAGGAGTGGGGATGTGGCGCGCTCAGGGGAGGAGGCAGAGAAGAGGCAGGGCAGAGGCGGGGTCAAGCACCCACCGGGAACAGTGGAAGTCGGCGCCTATGCTTTTGTCGATAAAACTTATGTCGCTCAGGGGTGTGGGGAAAAAAAAAAAAAACCCCACCCCTGAGTGATGTAAGTTACATGGACAGAAACGCGGATGTGGACAGTGCTATGTCAGCGGGAGAGCTACCACTCATGGAGGCAGTTTTATTATGCCGACGGGAGAGTTCTCTCCTGTCAGCATGGAGAGGCTACATGAGCGATCTTACAGCAGCCCAGCTGCATCAGTACAGCTGTACCACTGTAAGCTTTCTAGCGCAAACATGGCCTAAGGAAATTGAAATTTCCTTTGAGTTTCCACTTTAATCTTAAAATGTATCATTTTACTAGATTCCCATTGTGTGAATAAACAAAAGCATTCATTGGAGACATCTGTGTCAAAATATATACACAGGTATTTGAAAGCATTGGCGATGCTTACGGACACTATCCTTCACTGCAGAGCTTAGTTGAGTGATTAGGTCTTTGACTCAGTGACTATGCCTATTTTCAGATTTCCCACCCTTCCCCAGGAGTAGAAAATTCTATGGCAATATCCAAACAGACTAGGTAGGCTCAGAGACCTGTGTTTTACTTGTCATGGGCTATAAGTATTTCACTATAGGCAAAAGAGAAATTGAAAGTGTCTTTTGTGACTATGACCAACACAACTGCCTCAAAAATGAACAAAAAATACAAGGTACTGATTAAGATACGTTCAGGCAGCCCAAGAAAGGTTAAAAGCATTGCTATGCATATAATAACTAAGATTTGCAATTTGAAAACCCCTCAAGCACATTGCAACTGGCACAATCAAGGTCACACTTTAAGGCAGTCCCATTATAATCAGTTGAACAGCACAGCATTCAACATCTGTTCACAGATAATGTACATTGGTAAGACAGCGCCCAATCAGGTTTAAAACAAGCATTTGAAGCTTTTTTGGTGTGCTCATTTAAGGCATGTCAATCAATGGACTGTTATGTTCTATTGGCATCAGTAATTATTGTTTTAAGGCTCAATCCTGCAAATACTTAATATTATTTTACTCACATGCGTTTCTTGCAGGATGTGCCCCTTCAGTTACACATAAGTAAATATTGAAAATGTTGTATTAGTCAGCAACTGCTAGACACCGAAGGAACTAATTATGAAACTGTATAGTTGCTTTCAATAAAACGC